TCTATTCTATTCTATTCTATTCTATTCTATTCTATTCTATTCTATTCCATTCCATTCCATTCCATTCCATTCCATTCCATTCCATTCCATTCTATTCTAATTCTACTCTACTCTATTCTTAAATGTTTTAAATGGCCCGTTGAAAAGATCTGCCTTTTTGCCAAAATAGTACATTGCTGAATTTGAGGTTAGATGTTTTGTAACGCTGGGCAATGCTTTGGATTCAGGTGCACAAAGATACAATGGAGAAGGTGAAGATGCAAACAGATTTGTCCATCTGCAACTCAAAGTGGCTGGATTTTTGGGGGTGGGGGTAAGGGGTTGCATGGCTGCCCTAGATGCTGCAGCCCCATCCTGAGCAAAGTTGCATGGGGTCAGTGCATCAGGCACTGATAAAAAAGGGGGAGCATAAATATTTAAAACTACGAAAAGCATCCTTTGCAATGCTTGTTTGGATCAAAGGTCCCCTTTTCAGCAAAAAGAGCCTCTCCGGATTCTTTCCAGAGATTTTTTTTAAAAAAAGAGAGATTGGACAGCCGTTTGTCCAGAATTGTATATGGTTTCTTGCTCAAGCAGGGGGATAAATTAGAAGACTTCCAAGGTCCCTCTCAACTCTGTGACAGGTAGTCCTCGAATTACGACCCAAATCGAGCCCAAAATTTCTTGTTGCTCAGCGAGATATCGGTGAAGTGAGTTTTGCCCCATTTTCCGGCCTTTCTTGCCACAGTTGTTTAAGTGAATCACTGCAGTCGTTAAGTTAGTAACCCGGTTGTTAAATGAATCAGGCTTCTCCATTGACGTTGCTCGTCGGAAGGTCGCTAAAGGGGATCACCCATGACCCTGCGACACACTGCAACCATCATAAATACGAGTCAGTTGGCCAAGCCTCTGAATTTTGATTGCAGTATTCTTGGGGGATGCTGCAAGGATCATAAATTGTGAAAAACGGTCACTTTTTCCAGTGCCATCATGGTAACTTTGGCACGGTCACTAAATGATTTGCCGCGAGTCGAGGACTGCCTGTATTCTGTCATTCTTATTTCTTGAAGCTCAGATTTTATTTATTTATTTTTTATTTTTTATTTATTTGATTTGTCAATCTCTTACAAGATAACAGGTATCAGTATAAACATATTATGAATACATGAGATGGATACGAATAAGAAAAATAAAAAGAAACAATAGGACAGGGACGGTAGGCACGTTGGTGCGCTTATGCACGCCCCTTACTCAGCAGTTGGTCTGGGAGGGTACCCACCGCCTTGTTTGCTGACTAATTGTGTTAAAGCATATTTGTGTGTGTTAGCTAGAAGGCGCTGAGTTGTGTGACAGCTCTTTTATCTCAGCCATCTGGCCACAAACATTTTTTTCTCAGGGTGGGGCTGCCCGACCTCATCAGATGCTTATCACGTTCCATGGGCACATTTAACCAATATCAGATGTATTTTTTGCACGGCTGAAATGTTTTCACAAGGGTCACGAGGGACCTTCGTCTTTCCTTCTGATGGTTGTCCCAGAAGGACAATCCCAAAGGTGTTTGTTTTTTTCAACTGGACTTTCTGGCTTTTCCGTTCCCCACCATCTGGTCAGAGCTGAAGAAGCTTCTTGGGTGAGAAGCAAAATGTCTTCAAAGAAAAACCAGTCCAGTCGCCTCTTGAAAAAAAAAAAAGCACTTTTGGGACAACCATGACTTGGATGACTGAGGATCTCCATAGACCTGAAGGACAATATTTCTCTGCCCTGGGACATAGAATCATAGGGTTGGGAGGGACCTCAAGGTCTTCTAGTCCAACCCCCTGCTCAAGGCAGGAGACTTATGCCATCCAAGTCAAGTAGTTGTCCAGTCTATAAAATGTCCTGTGATGGAGCAACCACAACCCCAGGAGCAAGTTGTTCCATTGATTAATTGTTCTTACTGTCAGGGAATTCTCTACTCCTCTACTCGTAGCAGAATACCTTATGCCACCAGACTTGAAATTTTAGACCTAGACAACCTAGAACTACGCCGCCTTCGGTCCGATCTAAGTATAGTACATAAAATTATCTACTGCAATGTCCTACCTGTCAATGAATACTTCAGCTCCAATCACAACAATACAAGAGCACACAATAGATACAAACTCAAGGTAAACCGCACCAAACTTGATTGCAGGAAATACGACTTCAGCAACAGAGTGGTCAATGTCTGGAATACTCTACCTGACCCTGTGGTTTCTTCCCCAAACCCCAAAAACTTTAACCTTAGACTGTCTACTATTGACCTCACCCCTTTCCTAAGAGGTCTGTAGGGGGCGTGCATAAGCGCACCAACGTGTCTACCATCCCTGTCCTGTTGTTTCTTTTTTATCCATATCCATTTCATGTATTCATGACCATGTTTATACTTATACCTGTTATCTAATACGTGCTTGACAAATAAATAAATAATAAATAATAATAATTCCTCCTTACTTCCAGGCTGAATTTCTCTTTAGTGACTATGGAGATTCTGAGTTATCCAGCCAGGTCATGGCTGTCCCAGAGGTGCTTTTTCAAGAGGCAACTGGACTTTCTGTTTTTTCTTTGAAGATGTTTGGCTTCTCATCCAAGAAGCTTCTTCAGCTCTGACTGGATGGTAGGGAATGGAAGGATTTATACTCCTTGCAGACAGCTGGTCATTATTTTGCATTCTTTTAGAGAGTCCTTGAATCAGAGCTGAAGAAGCTTCTTGGATGAGTTGTCTCTTGAGAAAAAAACCACCTTTGGGACAACCATGACCTGGATGAATAAGAATCTCCATAGATGATTATCTGTATGGGATACACCTATAATATCCCAAGATGTATGTAGATGTTCCTATGTCTAGAAATAGTATGATGTCAGACTGGATTTTGGAAAGACACATATTATTTTATCTCTTTTACAATGGAAAAGAGCTAGCCGCATTTAGCAACTTCATACTTATACTCAGGGACTCATACAACTGCCTTAAATTTCTGCCATGCTGCCACCTCTTCCTCCTCATCTACCCAATTGGATTTATATTTTTTTGAAGGTGCAAAATAGGGGAGGGAGTCACCTGGTGTCCTACTTTCCATTTCTAGTCTGCTAATTTTTTTAAAAAAGGGTTAAGGATGGAATAACTGAAGGCTGCTTGCTGATAATTACCCGCAAGATCGTTTTAAGTGGTTCTGGAAACATCTGCATCCTTTCTGATAGAGATATTTAAGAAATGTACATTCTTTTCTTTCATGTTTCTTTCTCTCCCTAGTTTGCTCGCCTTTTATCTGTTTTTTTTCAGCGAGCTGCCTTTGATGAGTGCTATTGATGTTTAATAAATATGCATCCATCAGTCCTTTTTGCCACAAGAACTGAGTGATGTGTTAGGTTGGTCTACCCTGGATATGGGGATTGACTGGGATGTGCAAGTTCTGGAGACAAGCCATTCCACTGGTTAATCGTTCTAACTGTCGGGAAATTTCACTTTAGTTCTAGGTTGCTTCTCTCCTTGATTAGTTTCCATCCATTGCTTCTTGTCCTGCCTTCAGGTGGTTTGGAGAATAGCTTGACTCCCTCTTCTTTGTGGCAACCCCTGAGTTATTGCAACACTGCTATCAGGTCTCCCCTAGTCCTCCTTTTCAGTAAACTAGACATACCCAATTCCAGCAACTGTTCTTCATATGTTTTAGCCTCCAGTCCCCTAATCATCTTTGTCGCTCTTCTCTGCACTCTTTCTAGAGTCTCAACATCTATTTTACATTGTGGTGACCAAAACTAGATGTGGTAGTACAAAATGAGCTTGAGCCATGTTGAGTTATTTTTTGATCCTGGTTGGTAGATTTCCAGGTTCAGCAAAAATAAATAAATAAATGCGAATAGTTATTCTGTGGTCTTGCTATTCTGGGAATTGTTCTTTTAGCTTGGTACACAAACAGGTCATCCAATGAGGTTAACATGGTTTATTTAGAATGTTATACGAATAGCAATTTCTTAACCCCGATTTACATTAAAATGTGTTACAGGTAGTCCTGTATTTATGGCCACAATCGAGCCCAAAATTTCCGTTGCTAAGCAAGACAGTTGTTCTGCGAGTTTTGTCCTGTTTCACTACAGTACCTTGCCACAGTTGTTAAATGAATCACTGCATTTATTAAGTTAGTAACATGGTTGTTAAGTGAATCTCGCTTCCCCATTGACTTTGCTCATTGGAAGGTCACAAAAGGGAGTTTTGATATGTGACCATGGATATGCTGTAATGGTTGTAAGCGTGAAAAATGGTCGTAATTCACTTTTTCCAGCACCGTTGTAACTTTGAACGGTCACTGAACGAACTGTTGTAAGTCGAGGACTACCTGAAAATAAATCTAGCCAGTGAGTTCAAAGACGATCCCCCTGTTAGCCTGATGTTGGAATTGATTCTGTTCCATCAAGTCATTGTTGACTTCTTGTGATCCTGAGATAAATATTTTCCCTGGCAACCGATCCCCAACCTGGTCTTTCAGGTCTTCTAATGGTGGTGGGATTCACATTTTTTTTTACTACTGGTTCTGTGGGCGTGGCTTGGTGAGTGTGGTGTGACTTGGTGGGTGTGGCTTGGTGGCCGTGGCCGTGGAAGGATACTGTAAAATCTCCAGCCAGAGGTGGTATTTGCTGGTTCTCAGAACTACTCAAAATTTCTACTACCGGTTCTCCAGAGCTGGTCAGAACCTGCTGAATACCACCTCTGCCACTAACCTGCTTTCCAGCACCGTTCTCCTATGCAGGGCAACAAACAAAGACCCAGCCAATCAGCTGGGACTCAGGAGGCAGAGAAGAGATGGGGACGGGGCCAGTTAGAGGTGGGATTTGCCGGTTCTCTGAACTACTAAGATTTTCCGCTACTGGTTCTCCAGAACCGGTCAGAACCTGCTGAATACCACCTCTGCTTCTAATACAGACTTCCCCAAATCTTCTGGCTTTGCAGCTTGGCAGGAGGGAGAGGAAAGAGGGGGTGGTTTGGCATGAGTAGCGTGTAGGTAAGTGCGTGTAGCTCCATTTGTGTGCTGCTTACCAACGTGCAATTGCTCACCACTTCTGCGGCCTGATTCTGAACAGCTCAAAGCCCGGCAGTGGTCCAGGTTGGGGACCCTTGTCCTAATGGTCCATCCATTGCCACTGTTACTTGAGTCCATGCACTTTGAAACTGCTAGTCATTTCTTCTTTTCTTTTCCTTCCCCCTTTCCTAGCAATTTAGACTTATCCTGACGTTTATTCCCAATGATAAGATTTAATATTAGAGGCTGACTAGGACTTTTATCCGTCCTGGAAAATAAGGAGCACCAAACACTTCTCTTTAAACCATGCTTTCATTCATTTCACCATTCTGACTTTCAGAACGGTGTCCAACATAGAGCAGTCACAGGACGGTTGAGTTGCATTGTGTGGCTCACAACACACACTTGCTGAGCTTTGTACCATGTCTGGCCAAGAAAGGTCATTGGCCAGGAGTCTTGACGTCAAACCAGCCCCGTGCTTTTCATATGCCCAATCAAAGTGAAACTTTGGTTTCCTTAGAACACTTTGTTCTCTAGGTTGAAAACTACACACACACACACACACACACGCAGACGTGAAAACAACACTAGACCATTTTGTGCAATTGTGGCAACCTGTATAATTCTATGCTTTTTCAAGAGGCAACTGGACTTTCTTTGTTTTTCCTTAAAGATCTTTCCCTTCTCATCCAAAAAGCATCTTCAGTTCTGAACTGAAGAAGAATCCGAACTGAGGAAGCTTCTTGGATGAGAAGTGAAACCTCTTCAAACAAGGACAAAGAAAGCCCAGTTGCCTCTTGAAAAAGCACCTTTGGGACAACCATGATTGAGAATAGACATCCGTACACATCCGTATAATTCTACTGTAGTGAAACCTGGGTTGCTTTTGGGCAGTATTTCAAACCAGGTTTCTCTCAGTAAACTATCGCTTTGCATTGATTTAAAGCTATGAACAGATAGTCCTTGACTTACGACTGAAATTGAACTTGGCAATTTTGGTTGTAAATCATGATGGTTGTAAAGCAGGCTTTTTTGTAGAAATTGTTTAAATGAACGCAATTGTTTTCTAGGGACCCATTTTTGCCAGAAACTGGGAGTAAATACTGGATTCCAGCAAAAAATGTACATTGCAGTTGCATGACTGTGGGTCAGTGCAAATGAATGTAAATGCGGGCTGGTTGCTGAGCACTCAAAATGTGGACACACAGCATGAATGTGGGAGTAGGGCAGCCAGTACAACTTCAGAAGCCGCTTGTAAATAAACTTCAGTAAATCAGAACAGAGCTGCAAGAAACGTTGGAGGTCTTCCAGTCGAGACCCTGTACCATTTCAGACACCTCCAGTGATGGAGCACCTACAACTTCTGGTGGCAAGCTGTTCCACTGGTTAATTGTCCTCACTGTTAGGATGTTTCTCCTTAATTCCAGGTTGCTTCTCTCCTTGATTAGTTTCCATCTATTGTTTTCTTGTCCTGCCTTCTGGTGCATTGGAAAAATAAGTTGACCCCCCTCTTCTTTGTGGCAGCTTCTAAAATACTGGAATACTGCTCCCATCCTGGACATAAATTGTTTCAACTCCTACCCTCAAAACGCCGCTATAGGGCACTGCACACCAGAGCAACTAGACACAAGGACAGTTTTTCCCCAAATGTCATCACTCTGCTAAACAACTAATTCCCACAACACTGTCAAACTACTTAGTAAGACTGTATTACTATTCTTCTTCTCATCTTTCCTATTACCTATCTCTTCCCGCTCAATGACGATAACCGTGTTGCTTGTATCTTTACAATTTATATTGTTTTATTTGTTTCCTAGTATGATTTGATTACTTATTGTACCCTATAACTATCGTTAAGTGTTGTACCTGATGATTCTCGACTCTTGACGAATGTATCTTTTCTTTTATGTACACTGAGAGCATTTGCACCAAGACAAACTCCTTGTGTGTCCAATCACACTTGGCCAACAAAGAATTCTGTTCTGTTCTGTTCTGTTCTGTTCTGTTCTGTTCCACTCCACTCCACTCCACCCCACCCCACTCTTTTGATCTCTAGAATAGCCAAACTCAAATCCTGCAAACATTCTTCATATGTTTTTGTCTCCAGGGCTTTAATCAATCTTAGTTGCTCTTCTTTGCACTGTGTACCACACCCCTAAGGTATTGACACCTTTTTTGTAGGGGGAGGTCTAATATAACTTTGAATGTCTGGTAAATGACCAGTCATAAGTTGAGGACTACATGTATCTGGTTTGCAGCCACCCAATAGGAATTATCAACTAAAAGCTGGAAGGTTCTGTATCGGCTTCCTCCCCTATAATCTGTGAATTACTTACTCATCAGAGCCCGGTGATACTGTGCTACAGGTGATGGTAAAACAGATGGAGCTCTTTTCTTTGCAGATTAAAAAGAAAAGGCTATGGAGTGGCAGCTGTTGAATCTTTCATTGCAGGCGGGAACAGGCTGTTTCAGAAGGTGCAGGCTGAACAAAAAATGTGTCCTTCGCATTACGAGTTCCTTGTTATTTAAGGTGCAAAAGTGAAAAATTGGAAGCGTCTTACCAAATGCCAGCTTACATTGAAGCCTATCTAATTGCTGAATTTGGTTTAATTTATACCGATTTATAATTGGCTCCCTTGGGTGGGTGGGAACCCAGCTTTGGCACATTAAAAAAAAAAAAAAAGATTGTTTCCTTGCTTGCTGTTTGTGGCTCTTGGCACGATGTACATGGAGGGTTTGAAATGCTTTTTTTTTTAATCTGTGTGTGCTTTGGAGTCAGTGTTTGTCTGAAATGGAACAGGGTCTCCTGCTTGAGCAAGGGGTTGGACTAGAAGATTTCCAAGGTCCCGCCTTCCAACTCTTGTTATTCTGTTGTTGACTCCTGGTGACACATGCCCCTGCATTTTTTTTTTTTCATGGCAAGATTTTGCAAGTTTGAGAGATTTTGGACCCGCCCAGTCATTTTGTAGAGTGGGAAGGATGGCATATAAATTTATTAAGTAAATAAGTTTGCAAAATGCCTGCTTCCTATGGGTTAAGAGCCGTGGTGGCGTGGTGGCTAGAATGCAGTACTGTAGGCCAGGGGTCTCCAACCTTAGCAACTTTAAGACTTGTGGACTTCAACTCCCAGAATTCCTCAGCCAGTCTATTCCAAATATTAGCCTCTACCTAGGATTGAACTCACAGCCTCCTGATTGTGAGGCGAGAGCTCCAGAACTAACAGAAAAATTAGGAATCCAAATAATCTCCTTGACATTCTTCTTTCTCTCTCTCTCTTTTTTTTCAGGATTGACAAAGCCATGCTTGCTAGTCTGAAGATAAAGTAAGTCATTGATTCTTGAAATCTTATTATTTTTCAAAAAAAAAATATTGGCCTTATTGGCTTGCTTCTGCAGTTGTTTGCTACACACACATGCTGTTCAATGGGGTTGACCATTTCCTACAACCCTTTGCAAAACTTTTACCAGCCCAGGATAATACAGGTAGTCCTCAACTTACAACAGTTCATTTAGCGACTGTTTGACTTACAATGACACTGAAAAAAGTGACTTATGACTGCTTTACACACTTACAAGCATTGTAGCATCCTCATGGTCACCTGATCAAAATTCGGCAACTGACTCATGTTTATGACGGTTACAGTGTCCTGGAGTCACCTGATTAGCTTTTGTGACCTTCTGACAAGCAAAGTCCATGTGGAAGCCAGATTTACTTCGCAACCTTGTTACTAGCGTAATTTTGCAGTGATTCACTTAACA